TGCACGAGGTCCTGGGTTCAACCCCTAGTACCTCCGTTAAATTAAAAAAATACATATACCTAATTACCTACCCCCCAGATTTTTTTAATTAAAAAATACTAATTAATATGTACATAAAATAGATAAACAATAAGTTCATACAGTATAGCACAGGGAAATATATTCAATATCTTGTAGTAACTTCTGGTGAAAAAGAATATGAAAACAAATGTATGTATGTTCACGTATGACTGAAGCATTATGCTGTACACCAGAAACTGCCACAACATTGTAAACTGACTATACTTCAATAAAAATGTGTATGTATTAAAGATAAGAAAAAAAGAACTTTCCTTCAACGCCTATTTGTTTACACTAAAATGCTCTTTTTATAGGAAAGACCAGATACCTGATTTATTCTGTCCTTTTTATTAGTTTTCAGAATAACCGTCTTAGTAACTTCTGTAGTACCCTCGTTTGGAGGATGGAATGACCCCTTTGGTGGGCGCCAGTGGAAGCCCCTGCAGGCTGACTCCTGTGTCCTTTTGACACCATCTCAGCAGTCTTTGATAGCTTCCTTGCTTCGGAGCTGAAGATGGCCCAGACTCATTGTGCTTATCTCTTGCCCCAGAAGCCTGCCATCCCTCCAGGGAGCATCTGGCCCTTTTCAGTGGGAAATGAGATTTAGCAACCACAGCTGGGGTCCTGGGGCACTCACTGCTAACGGGCTGTCATTGCTTCAAGGTCCTTTGCTGCAGACGGAGGTGCTGAGATATTAGGTTTATTAGGGAGCTCTCTTGGGATCAACATCTGTGGAGCGGAAGGAAGCAGGATTGAACTCAGGCAGAGCTGGGCTGTGATGCATTCAGTGACCTCAGAGAGAGATCTCAAGTTGGGAGTGTCTGTTAGAGCTGCCCTGAGTTGGGGCCCCAGACCAGGCCTTTATTGCCCTGGATCAGTGATTACATGTGAGTCCCCTGGGAAGGGGGCCTGACCTTGGTGAACACAGCTGTCTCAGAGTCAATTCCTGGAAAGGGATGACAGCTGACATCAAACACCTGCCTTCTAATTTTTCTAATTCTGTCTTCAGCTGTGTCTAATATTCTGTTTGACGTATCCATTGAGTTTTTAATTTCCAATACTTGACTTTTTTATTTGTAGAAGTTTTATTTGTTTCTCCCGAAGTCTGTTTCTTTCTTTTATTTTAATAGACTCTCACTTCGTTTTCATAATGCTCTTTTATTTCTTTAAATAAAAATAAATAATTAAAAATAGATTTTTTTCCTCTGACAGTCACTGTGCTGTGCATCACATCCCCAGGACATATTTATTTTATAACTGGATATTTGTACCTTTTGATTCCCTTTGCCTATCCCCTCCCCCTACCTCTGACAACCACCAGTCTGTTCACTGTATCTATGCATTTGTTTTCTTCTTAGACTGTATGTATAAGTGAGATCATACAGTATTTGTCTTTCTCTGTCTGACTTATTTCATACTCATAGTTATTTTAAAATTCCAACCTGGCAGCTCCAACCTCTGGGTCACTTGGAGTCTAGTTGTGTTGATTGCTTTGTCTCTTGACAGTGGATTTATTACCAACACCACCCCCCTGCTTTTTTGTATGTCTTCTTTGTTGAATCTCAGATATCATGTGTTCATTTCAATGAACATAAAGTGTTTCCTCCTGGGAATGGCTGTGTCTCTTCTGTAAGGCATCAATGTGTGGGAGGGAGGTTTGAATCAACCTGCTCAGGTGTTGGCCTCAGTTTGGGACTTTCAGGGTACCAGCAACTTCAGATTCCAGTGGGGATGCCAGTGTCTTGTGCTTAGGACAAGAGTTGGGGGATGCAATGTTTTGCTCTGCCCTATGTTTTCAGCTGGCCCTGCTTGCCTGGCACACAGAAGGGACCTCTACACATAACTGCCGTTCCCTGGTGGAGACCAGCACTGCTCAGGCAGCTGCGCTGGCCGGGCTGGAGTCGGGAGCCAGGAGGGCTCTCTGGTCCTGGTCCAGGGCCAGCCTTGGCAGGCCCTGTGTGCCTGGGGCTTGGAGGGTGAGGCTTTCTCAGACTTCCTGCCTCTTCTCCTGGGACATCCAGCCTCCCCACTGTAAGTGTGATGGGTTTGTGTGGGTGTTTCTGGCCCTCCCTGTGTAGTCACCCTTTAGGGACCAGGTGGGACCCAGGCCTGTTTCCCATCCGCCTCTCAGAGGGAGGGAAGTCCTCCCCCACCCACAGCATGAGTCTCGAGGGGTGGACATGGGGACACACCTTCCTGACCCTCCACTCACCAAGGCCCCCACCCCAGCTGGGCCACCAGGAGGCTCTGTGAGGGGGCTGCTGTGCTTGTGGTTTGTTCACACCTCCAAGAAGAAACTTCAAAGTATGTGGTGACAGAAAGTGAGGATGATCATGCTAAGTGAAGTAAGTCAGACAGAGAAAGACAAGTGTCATATGATGTCCCTTATATGTGGAATCTAAAAAAAAGGTACAACTTTTATTTATAAACCAGACATAAATTCATAGACAAAGAAAAAAACTGTGGTCACTAGAGGGGAAAAGGAGGGGCAGGGACAGATCAGAAGTTTGGGATTAATAGATATACATTACCATATATAAAATAGATAAACAACAAGGACCTACTGTGCAGCACAGGGAGCTCTATTCAATTTCTTGTAGTAAGTTTCAATGGAAAAGAAACAGAAAAAAAAAGTATGTGTATGTATCACTGAATCGCTTTGCTGTTTATCTGAAATTAACATTGTAAATTGACAATACTTCAATAAAAAAATAAGAATTAAAAAAAATGGAGGGACACACTCCATTGAGAATGCATGATTTATTTGTCACACATGGGATGTGGCTTCCTGCCGGAGACAGAGAGGGACCCTGGGAACCAGGGCTTCCAGAGGAGATGCGCAGATTCATAGAAAGATCCAGATCGTCCTGCCACGCTCTTGCCCCAGAGTTCAGAGGGTTGGTTCATCATGCGTTTTTCATCTGCCACGTGCAGAACCTGGAGGCCCATGGAGGACTCGTTCTGGGAGGGGCACAGGTATGAACTCATCTGCACAGGGGGCAGCTGGGAGGAGGCTCACGGTCAAAAGCACGAGGGGGTGCTACAGGAGGTGGGTCTGCAGACCAGGGTGGGGCAGGAGGGCTGGAAGCACCCGGAGGACTGGCAGGAGGGGGCCACACACACGACCTGTTTGTAGCTCACGGGCACACGCACAAAGGACTGGCAGGAGGGGGCCACACCCACGGTGGGCCTGCAGCTCACGGGCAGGCACACGGGCCTGCAGCTCACGGGCACGCACACAGCTGGCTTACAGGTCAGGGGCACATAGCAGGACGCCTGGCAGGGCCTGGACGTGCAGCAGGACGCCTGGCCGGAGCTGGGCACGTAGCAGGCAGCCTGGCAGCCGGAGGAGCAGCTGGTGTGGCACATGGTGGCTTAGGGCTGGGCTGGCGTCGGGAGGAGGGCGGTGATGTCTGCAGCCTCCCTGCCCGGGCGGCCTTTATACCCGGGCCGTGGGCGTCCCAGCAGCACAGAAGCTCACCTGCTGACTTCCTCGAGGTTGTTGCCAACGCCTTATTATCATGGGACGCACTTTCCTGTATTGTTCTTCACCACAAATTAGTTTGGCTTTGAGGCCAATTCCTCCGCCCGTAAGCAGGATGTTCTGGTCTGACTTTACGTGGGGTGTGTGTTGTTCCTCCGGCCATCACTGTGCCCAGCGCACCCTTGCAGGGACTCGGTGCTGTAACCTCTTACTCCTTTAGGTCTCATGACGTCAACGAAGACTTTGAGGCAATACTGTACTTTGAGGGTTTTTTGCAGAGGAAAACGCCGAAGCGGGAGCCTGTGGGACAGCGCTGGCCTGCTGCCTGTGTGGCAGCGGAGCTCTGTGGGCACCGCCCGCCTGCGTGCTTAGCGTCCGGGGCCGCTCGCCCGGCCACGCTGAGCTGTGCTGAGGGAGGCCGCGTGACCGCGGAGCCTGAGAGTCTCGCTCTCTGCCCTTTACAGAAAGTTCGCCGGCTCCTGCTTCACAGTAATCAGTACAAGAGCTGGTTCGTTCATGCAACAAATTACACTGCGTGCTGGCGAGAGAGATGCCCCCGCCGCCTGAGCCTTCCAGGGCAGTGAGCAAATGAGTGCATGAAACATTCGTGCATGAGATGATTCCAGAGGGGCTGAGTCCCGGAAAGGAGAGCAGGCTCAGCAGGTGGAGAGAAGTGGGGAGCTGGTGGGTGGTCTGGGGGCCCCGGGAGGGGAGGCGACGCTGAGCTGGCTCTGCGTCCAGAGAGGGGGTCGGGGCGGCGCTCCAGGCAGAGGCAGCCAGGGGGCTGTGAGGACACGGCTGCAGAAACGGGCAGTTCCAGGGGCAGCGGGGAATCCCACAGCTCGGGCCGACAGGGTGCGGGGGCCGGTGGAGGATTCCGACCGTGGGAACCGAGGAGCAGGCGTCACCACCCTGGGCTGATAGAGGAAAGGCTCGGTGGACCTGAGGACACGTCAGTGGAAATCATCCAACCTGAAGAAGGGGGACAAGGAGCTAAGAAAGATGAGGAGGCCTGTGAGACAACATCAGAGAGGCTAACGTGCAAGTGATTTCTGCCCGGGGAGGAGAGGAGAATGACACTGATATATAAGAAAACTGGGAAGAAATAACAGATAAAATTCCCAAATTTGACTTTTTAAAAAAAAATTCCAATTGACAGATGCAGGAATCTCAGAGCACACGCCCAGGGCCCCAGCGCATGCGGCACAATGTGAGGACCCGGGACCCAGGGGGCTGACACCTCCAAGTACCTGCTTCTCCGTCTCAGCGCTGAGACCGTGCGCCCGTCATGGGCTCCTTCTGAATCGCCCTGAGGGACCGCCTGTGCACACGGGGCTCCAGCCGCCCCCGGGCGGTGGCAGGACTGGTCATTAATCGGTTACAAGGGGGTCCACGTGAAACGCTTAGCTCAGCCCCGGCACGAAGCTGGAACCCCGTCGCTGCGATCGTGGCAGTAATGTGGCTGCGGCTCCCAGTGAGGAGCCCAACCCTGCGGAAGAACCTCCTGGATCACCGAGTTTCCGCATCAAAGTTGGGGACGCTGTGCTTGTGCAGACGGACACAGGGTCCTTACAACTGGGGCGGACCCTGAAAATACGATGCGAGACTTCTGTCCCCACGTGGTGGCCCTTCCCTATCCAGCCCAGGCTCCAATCACAGAAGTCGCAGGACCACTTTGTCACTGGGTGCATCCCGCTGAGAAGGAGCTTCCCGAACTGGGTCACTTCCACCGGGAACTCCAGGAAGAGACTGTGGGGAGGGACGAGGAGGAAAAACAGCAGGCGGCCGGGAGGAGGGCGCTCGCGTGCCTTGTGGCCAGGAGGCCATGGCCCGGGCATAAAGGTCACCCAGGGGAGGAGCCTCCAGCCCAGCCCTGAGTCTTTGGGCTATCACGCAAAGCACCCAGCCCTCAGTCCTGGCCCCACCTCAGCGCCTCACCTCCAGGTGCCACACTAGCTGCTCTGCGGGCTGCCGGCCGGCCTGCCGTGAGCCCGGCCCCTGCCGGCAGACTTGCTGTGTGTCACTGAGCCGCAGGCCTGTCGTGTGCGTGCCTGTGAGCTGCAAGCTGACCACACGGCTGCCCGTGAGCTGCAAGCCCCTGTGTGTGTGGCCCCCTCCCGCCAGTCCTCCGGGTGCTGCCAGCCCTCCTGCCCCGCCCTGGTCTGCAGACCCATCCCCTGTGGTGTCCCTTCCTGCTGCTGAGCCCAGGCCCTGCCGGGACCCCTGCCCGTGTGTGGGTCAGAAGCAGCCAACTCTGAACTCCCAGGGGGCGGCCCAGACATCGTCCTCTCCACACCTTCCGCGCCCAACGAGACTGCATCGCAGCGAGGCTGCTCGATCCCAGCCGGCCAGGCCGAGGGCCTCATCCCCGGCGGGGTCACCTGCCCGGCGCCCACGCCGGCTGGGGCGGCGTCCAGGCTCGGCAGCCTCCCGCACTGAAGTTCCAGTACACGTCAGAGCGCGATGCTCGCGGAGCAGTGTCTCTCCCCTCCTGCCATTCCCTAAACTGCTTCCTCCGGGGGTGGTTCCCCCAGATTCTAGAAAATTCCTTTTACAGAGCAGGTCAGGTCACCAGATGACCATGTGGGTGACCAAGCTCGTGCCAAAGGTGAACTCCCAGCGCTCAGGTGAGGGACCCAGCTCTGTCCCCTGACCTTACGAGGCCAGTCCTCACCCTGCTCTGGGTGGACCGAGGGCATTAAGGTCCTGAACTCACCCCTTTTGTGTAAAATGTCCTTCTGCGCAGCATTGATAGGTGGCGCTCACATCACTAAATTAAACCCGTATGCTCTGCGGATACGCAGGGCTCCTCCCCCTCCCCATGGGTGGGAAAGAGCCTGATGGGGGCGGGGGGGGGGACTTCCGTGGTTCCCCAGGGATGCCACGTCCTGCCCTCAGGACCTGCGATACGTCCCCTTACACGGCAAAGCAACTTTGTGGACGGGAGTAAATTGAGGGCCTTGAGATGGGAGATGCTCTGAGTCCTCCAGGTGGGACTGATGGGGGGCGGGGAGACGGCCACAGAAGGGGAGGCCACGGGAGGGGCAAGCAAGACTCGAGGCCACGAGCCAAGGATGCAGGGCCTCTAGAAGCTGAAAGGACAGGGGTCACACTCTGCCCTGGAGCCTCCAGGGAAGCCCGCCCGCCCACACCCCAACTGTGGCCGGGAGACTCCTTCCCATTCTGCCTCCACGGCTGGGGGGCAGCACGTTTGAGCTGCTTCAGCCACGTTCGTGGTCACTTTTACGGCAGCCACAGGCCGGCCAGCTTCTCGGTGGCACAGCCCCCCCTTCCACACTCCGTCTGTGGTCCTTCAACTGTGTGGTGACCTTCGGGGTTGTGGGTGGAAGTGGGGACACATAGGGCAGGAAGGAGAGCCACGCGGGGGCTGCGGAGCCGACTCCCCGGCCCTGCTGCCGGTCTCGGAGCCCATTCTCCCCCTGCGGGCTCTTCCTGCCCTGTGCCCCCGGCCGGGGGAAGAGCCCCTCCAGCCGGACCTTCCCTTCTCAGTCACTTGGAGGCTGACGGTCTTTCTGCCCAGGTCTGTCCTGCTCCAGGCTCTCTCCCCTAGCCTGAGTCCACACTGCCCTCTCTCCCACGGGTCCACACCGGGGCCGCGGGGACTCTCAGGCAGCATTCCTCTTAGCCCACACCTGTGCCCCCTCCCCGAGCATCCAGCACAGATTCTGGGCATCACGGCCTGGGGCAGTGGTGGTCCTCCCTGCAGGGGACTCTGCCGCTCTCGTGGTGACCCCCTGGGAGCCCCCTCCCTTGCCTGCAGAGGATGTAAAGGCCCCAGTCCTCCCTCCCTCAGGGACAGCTTTCTCCAAGGAATGCTCTCCAGAGCTCAGCACCCCAGGGCCTGGGTCCCTGACCCACAAGCACCCTCTTCTTGACCTCTCCACCCTCTGCAAGGGCCAGAGTTGGGGAGGGGCTGCAGCATCCTCTTTGGGCTATCACGCAAAGCACCCAGGCTGGGCGGCTTCAACCGCACAAACTCATGGTCTCACAGTCTGGAGGCCGAGGTGTGGGAGGCTGGTCCCTTCCAAGGGCAGCAGGGAATCCGCTCCATCCCCTCTCCTGGCTCCCCGTGTTTTCAGGCATCTCTGGTGTCCTTGGCTCCAGGTACCACCCTGATCCCTGCCTGCATCTTCTCCCGTCTTCCCTCTGTGCAGCTTCCTTTTTTGTAATGAGGACACGATCATGTGACCTCTGGATTGGGTCCCACCTTCCAGGCCTCATTTTAACTTGATCAGATTTGCAAAGATGCCATTTCCAAATAAGGTCATGTTCAGGGGTACTGGGGTTAGGGCTCCAGCATGTCCTGTTCAGGGAACACGGTTCAGCCCATCACAGGGGCAGCTCGAAGCTGCAAGACTGGTCTGGCCCCTCCTTTGCACACCACATGGCTGTGCCTTGGCTTCCGTTGTTTCGAGGATAGTCCAGTTGGAGGCAGGCCACACTCCCATCCGGAACCACAGCGATCGCAGGAGCACTGTGTGTGGGATGCCTGCTCTATTCTGGGAAGGGGAAACCTGGCCCAGAAACCGGGGGGGCTGCCCTAGGAAGTGCCAGCTCAGTCCCCGTGGTGTGAACACTGGCCCCTCCAGAGCGTGGGCGCTGGGCCACCGTGGGCACAGGGCCGGGGGCGGGGGCGGGGGTGCCGGGAGGAGGCATCAGCCACGGCAGAAGGAGGCACTGCCACGCCAGGGTGCCTGCGGGAGCTGTTTGGGGACCAAGAAATAGTCTAAGAGGTGCGCCACAGGGAGGCCGCCCTGTGCGAAGGCACGTATCTAGAAAGATGTCATTGTGATGTCACGTGATCCCCAGGATGTGACGTACAGAGGGAATCCTTAGAGCATCCACGATGCCTGGCACTTTCTCATCCTTCATTCAATTCAAATCAAACCTCCTCTCCAGCCCTGTTTTTTTCTTGTCCCCTGTATCCAAGCCAAGCCATTTGATGTCATGTCCTGGCCTTGCCCACACCCTCCCGGACACTCCCAGGAGCTGCCTGCGCTGTCCACCAGATGGGAGGAAGGCTTCACGGTTTACTCTTGTTTCATGTGGTACCTTGGTGGGCGGCATCTGTGAGTGGCCATTGTCCACATCTCAGTCACGTGGATGACAAAGGTGTCACAGTGACCCTGATCTGGAGGGTCTCAGCATTTAGAATTGTCCTTGTGTTACAAACATGTGCTAAATAAACTCTCCAAAGTATAGACACCGTCATCTCGACTGATTCTTTCCTTTCATTTATCTCATTTTATTAATGATGGCAGTTGACCTTTGACACATGGAATATAAGAACCCAACCATGCAGAAGAGGGCTCCCAGGGCCGGCAGTTCCCCCGACGGCTGGGGGGTTTGAGGGTGGCATGTTCAAGTCCCCTCCAGGCAGCAGCTGTGTGTCCACCGAAGAGAAAGGGGAGGTCCTGGTGCCAGCAGAGGGACTCCGGGGCTCCTGAGAGAGGACAGCTGGGCTCAGGGTCAAAGACAGAAGCTGGAGAGAGGCCGGCAGTCCAGCCGGTCAGCAGCTGGACTTCTAGGCCGAGTCAGAG